TACGTAGGATACGTTGTATTACGTAGGATACGTTGTAATAAAGATATTCTAATATATCATAAACTTTCCCAATGTATTTAAATTTTAATGTAAAGGTTTTTAAATGTAGTTCAATTAGATTTAAGATACAAAATTTTGAATGATATAATTAAAGGAAATAGATAGAATACGGATTAAAAATTCGGAATAACCACGGAAAAAAATTTAGAAGTTCTGACAAATCCTGTACCGCGGATATAGATGGCTGGAGTCCGACCCTTGTGCACTATACGGTATATGGTATACGGTATATGGTATACGGTATACGGTATATGGTATATGGTATACGGTATATGGTATACGGTATATGGTATACGGTATATGGTATACGGTATATGCATATGGTGTACGGTATATGTATATGGTATACGGTATATGGTATACGGTATATGTATATGGTATACGGTATATGCATATGGTGTACGGTATATGTATATGGTATATGGTATATGTATATGGTATACGGTATATGGTATACGGTATACGGTATATGGTATACGGTATATGGTATACGGTATATGGTATACGGTATATTGTATACGGTATATGGTATACGGTATATGTATATGGTATACAGTATATGGTATATGTATATGGTATATGTATATGGTATACGGTATATGTTATATGGTATACGGTATATGGTATACGGTATATGGTATACGGCATATGTATATGGTATATGGTATACGGTATATGGTATACGGTATACGGTATATGGTATACGGTAAACGTTATATGGTATATGTATATGGTATACGGTATACGGTATATATAATCAAATAGTTGATATGGGGAACTAAGATTATTAGTCCTCCTCTTAATATGTATTTAGATAACTGATTTATTACTAATTATTTAACTTATTTTTCGCATAATTTATAACTTTACTGATTAATTAACAAATAAGGACGAACTTTGACGTTACGCGGTGATAATTTTTGTAGACCTTCTTTTGTTTCATCAGATTTAGGGTAAAAATAATAAAAAGTCCCCTAAAACCTGCTCCAGCTTGACAGATTTAGGGTAAAAATAACAAAAAGTCCCCAAAAAGCTGCTCCAGCTTGACAGATTTAGGGTAAAAATAATAAAAAGTCCCCAAAAAGCTCCTTCTCCAGCTTGACATATTTAGGGTAAAAATAATAAAAAGTCCCCTAAAACCTTCTCCAGCTTGACAGATTTAGGGTAAAAATAACAAAAATTCCCCAAAAAGTTTATGTTTAGTGAACATTTTAAGCACAATAATGATAGACTTAGGGTATTAAATACGACATTATTTCATACATTCGATACTCATGTTTTAAATTCCACGACCGAAGAACGATTTTCCAAATAACTGTTCGTAAATCACTAAAAAAACGTAAGATCAGCAAGCAAATAAGTGAAAGCAGATAAAATAATGTTAATAAAAGGGAGAAAGAGGGAATGTGCGATACAGGGTTCAATTTTTTTTTTTTTTTTGAGGAAGAAATGCGAAGCAACACAAAGCAAGAAAGCTTTAAAACTAATTTAAACTTTGAAATATAGTTAACTAACTTTAATGATTTTTTCGAAACTTGATATCGACTTTATTCAAGAGAAACTTGGCACCCACGGGCAAGACAAACCTCAATGGTGAATAAAAGTAATTAATAGACGAAGAAGAGAGCGATTGAAATGAAAAACTAAATTATTAAAGTTTCAATAACAACTTTATTGCACAAACTAAAGGGCAAGAATCAATACGACGTAAGTTTTTTTTTAGAAAAGACACAGAGTAACTCTCGCCATTATAGATATTTTTTTTCAAAAACAGCTAAATGTAAATAACTCTACGGCGACCGGAAGCCAGTTTTCACAGAAACGGAGTCTACATTCAGAAAAATTAGTGTATCATTTGTCCAAGTGATGCCACACTTTCTGCGCGCAGCACTGAAACACTGTTAGAAAAATGACCGTTAACGGTATTACCGGGGTTTCAGTGGCCGGTCGGCACGTGAAAAGAAACACCGTTTCACCGTTTTATTCCAATTTAACACCAGATATCCGTAAAACATCTGATAAAAACGGTGAAAAGAAACACCGTTTCACCGTTTTTATTCCAATTTAACACCAGAAATCCGTAAAACATCTGATAAAAACGGCGAAACAGTTGCACGTGAAAAGAAACACCGTTTCGCCTTTTTATTCAAATTTAACACCAGAAATCCGTAAAACATCTGATAAAAACGGTGAAACAGTTGCACGTGAAAAGAAACACCGTTTCACCGTTTTTATTCAAATTTAACACCAGAAATCCGTAAAACATCTGATAAAAACGGTGAAACAGTTTTTTTCACGGGGCGACCGGCCACTAGGATGCCGGTGGGGGACCGTTTTTTCACCGTTTTTTCTAGTACTGATAAACCTTTTTACAGGGACAAACTGGGTCAAGATGACTCACTTAAGGAAAAAAGTGTATCGCTACTTGGATTAATTCTGGCTCATTTCTTTGAGTGTACATAATTAGAGTATAAAATATCTTTATAAACTTAAGCTTTTCTTCTAATACAACAGCACCGGGACAAATGAATGTGTCATTTTGTTTACAAATGGCGCATTTCGTTTTGGACAAAGTGATTTAATTTCTCAGAGTTCACTTATAAGAATTATATAGATTATAAATGATATATAAATCTATTGAAATATCTTTATGAAATATTTACGGTACGATATTTTCTGATGTGTTTCAAGGGTCGCCGGTAAGGCACTAAGGTGACGTAATTTTTGACTTGTATTATTTCAGGGCACGAATATTCTACTAGGGAACAACACGTACACAAATGTTGCCAGATGCACAAGCATATATGTTGCCAGATGCACAATCATCAATATTGCCAGATGCACAGACATCAATGTTGCCAGATGTACGGGGCCTACGGGCATATATGTTGCCAGATGCACAAGCATCGATGTTGCCAAATGTACAGACATCAATGTTGCCAGATGCACAGACATCAATGTTGCCAGATGCACAAGCATCAATGTTGCCAGATGCACAAGCATATGTTGCCAGATGCACAGACATCAATATTGCCAGATGTACGGGCATCAATGTTGCCAGATGCACAAGCATCAATGTTGCCAGATGCACAGACATCAATGTTGCCAGATGCACAAGAGAGGCTAGCATTATACTTACGATCTAACTTGCGGCACAAAGGAAGACATGAAGGATATAAATATAGGAGTCTGTTAGGACTAAAAGGATCTCGCACGAACATTTCTTGGAAAACCATAGCGAAACTTGGATATGTTATCAACCCTAGTAACATCGGTTGATGTTAAAGATCCGTACGAATAACATTTTTTCAATTTTACCTTCTGAAGTTGTAGGGACCAAGACATGATGGACTTCAAATTAATTACCCTACATGAAGTAAGTTACCCTAAAAACGAAAGTTTACCCTAAAAACGAAAGTTTACCCTAAAAACGAAAGTTCTTGGTACAATTTCTAAGGGTCAGCGATTCTTCTCCTAAATGGGGATTGAAGCTCCGAGGTTAGCCTCCCCCAATTGCAGAGGGTTGAGAGAACATCCCCACGGCTGGGGGATTAGGTGGTAACCTTGAAGGGGCTGCCGGGGATGTGTTCCTCTCCCCACTTGACAATGAGGCAATGTTCCCCTCTCTCCTTGATCACGTAGTTCACCTGGGGATGTAAGGGGGGGATTAACTGCAAAATTTAGGGTAAAAATATACAAAAATCATGGGCATAAAAAAAGAATTTGTTGATGGGTAGAAAATATGAAGTAAGATGAAAAACTGACTAAAAAATTCGGGATGGTCATGGATATAAGATAAAATATTTGTTGATGGGTAGAAAATATGAAGTAAGATGAATAACTGGCTAAAAAATTCGGGATGGATTTGAAAAAAAAAATTAATCCCGATCAGCTCGGGTGCGCTAGACAGCGAGCTGCCTTCACTTCAAAATACTTAAATAAAAAGCAAACGAACAATCTCTCGTACTTTTTACCGAGATTCTATACTACAGAGGTTTATTTTTACCTCTTTCAACTTAAAAAAAAAGTTCCCTTTTTACTCTCTCCTACAGAGGTTTGTTTTTACCTCTTTCAACTTAAAAAAAGTCCCCGTTTTAGGGTAAATGTGAGTCACGCGCGGGGTTGTCTGCGTTTCGACCGCTCAGTGTGCCACAGGCACTCCCGGAGGTAGGAGCTCCGTACGGCCACTGCAATGTGGCGCTCTGATTGGCTGCCTCACTCGCGTTAAGCCCGATTGAAAAAGGCAGTTAGTTTTTTAATTATATCATTTGTATACGACGCTTTCCCGTCTTTGGGATTGTGATTGAAGAAAAGTTTTAGGAAATATTTTATTTAAATTCATAGTTAGAGGCTCAAGTAATACTTCTGATGGAAGTTATATAGAATCTTCTTCATTGATTAACAGTTTTGTTATTATAATTATTATTATTATTATTATCCAATGCACCTGAGGTGATCACGGTTTTTGGTTGACAAAAATTTTGGAAGGTATAATATTTCAGAGTTGAAAATCTTGAGAATTTGTGTTGCAAGACGCGCGTCAATAGAGGATGATGATTTTGAAATAAAAAGAAAAAATGAAAGAAAAATAAATTAAAAGTAAATGGAAAATATCAAGAAAATATTTCAAGAAATCACGAAAGTGGAAATGCACAATGATAATAAATAACGAAGTTATGTAATGAATAATGTAACATCTGACATAGAAGACGTAAAAACATTTGAAAACATAACATTACAATAAAAATATTCGTGCAGCAACCGGCTCACGCGCAGACCCAGGCGGGCTGTCAGTGGGTCAAAAATCCTGTACATTTCTGTGACTCAGAACGCAAAATGTTAGCGAAAATCAGGGCTTGAATGATAATATCATAATAGGGGGCAGAAGAATAACGTTAGGAACATTCCACATCATTGTATTATCATCGTATTAATTTATAAAAGCTGGCACACGCTGGACTTAGATCAGGATCTGAAAAATAACGATATTTAATCTGAATGGAGACAGATTAAAATTTTAATCTGGTTCACCGCTGGCTTGTTACAAACAGGATCGACGGCACTAAAAGGAAAAAGTAACTTGCGTGGCTGGAAACAATTTTAAACGTGTTTCTTATACGCGTATGTGTTTTTTTAAATATCAAACAAATATCAAAAATTTGGGATGAAAAAATTTCGAGCGGATTTTTAGGGTAAAATTCTGGAAATGAGCGAAATCTAGGGAAAAAATTCGGGTATGTCATATCTAGGCTGTAAATTTCCCTTTAAAAATTGGGGTAAGAACGTGAAAATTAGCTAAATTTAGGGAAAAAATTTGGGTACGTGTCATATCTAGGCTGGAAATTTCCCTTTAAAAATTGGGGTAAGAACAGTCGATTGTTATTAGATCGCCTGATTTAATATTGAAATTTGTTCACGAAATTAGAAAATAAAATCTCAAAATGGGAGGTCGACCCCCACGAATTGGGGGGGGGGAGATAAACCGAAGGGGGGGGGGGGAGGGCAACCGGGCACCCGCGTGCATGTTAAAGCAAACCTTCGTACCCAATGACCCACCGCACGTCGCTGGCTTCCGGTGTGGTGGTGATGGTGGTGGTGGTGGTGATGTGGTGGTGATGTGTGGTGGTGGTGGTGGTGGTTTTGATTGCGGTGTTGGTGATGTGTGGTGTTGGTCATGTGTGGTAGTGGTGGTGGTGGTGGTGGTGGTGTTGGTCTTGTGTGATAGTGGTGGTGGTGTTGGTGGTGGTGGTGGTGGTGATGTGTGGTGGTGGTGGTTTTGATTGCGGTGTTGGTGATGTGTGGTGTTGGTCATGTGTGGTAGTGGTGGTGGTCATGTGTGGTAGTGGTGTGTGGTGGTGGTGTTGGTCTTGTGTGATAGTGGTGGTGATGGTGGTGGTGGTGGTGGTGATGGTGCAGAGGTGTTATCACCGTATATTTTGTGGCGCTACTTCGTAACTAGTAAATATGCAGATACTAGTGTATTTCGTAACTAGTGGATGTATGCAACACGTTTAATTAAGACTAAAGATAACAATCGAAATAATTTATCTTCCTTTTCAGAACGAGAGTTCAAGATAACAAACAATAAGTGAAATAAATAAATACTATAGATGAAGAATTGAAAATATTAGAAGGAAAATAAAAGTAACGAGAAAGTTTAAAAACTTTTGAGGCAGGCAAATACTCCACTTAATTGTTAACATGGCTAATTAAGAGTTAAGTAGGCATTAAGTGTCTTCTGTACTAATTAGATATTGATACACCGATTCTTTAATTAGATATTGATACGCCAATTATTATAAGATCGTGTATATAATATTTAACTGCGTGTCAAAAACCCAGTTAAAATTTGGAGCAGGTTCTGCGCCAATTGGAGCAAATGAGCAGCATTGGAGCAGGATTGACGCAGGATTGGAGCAGGATTGGGGCAGGATTGGAGCAGGACGTCTGCCGTTAATTGGCAATCTTGAAGCAAGATATAAGTCGCTTTCACCGGAAGCGGCCAATCAGCAATCTGGTTTTCATTGTTTATTTATCAATGAAATCTTCAGGCTTCGAAATGAGACATGACTGTCCCAAACCTGCTCCCCCACTGCTTCTAGCCTGCCCTGCGCGGCTCTGGTCTGGCTCAAATACGGTTCCTAGCCTGACCTGCACGGCACCAGCACGGCTCAAACACTGCTTCAAGACTGCCCTGCACGGCTCTGGCCGGCTCAAACACTGCTTCAAGCCTGCCCTGCACGGCTCTGGTTCGGCTCAAATAAGGTTCCTAGCCTGCGCCCTGCACGGCTCTGGCCGGCTCAAACACAGCTTCAAGCCTGCCGTGCACGGCTCTGGCCGGCTCAAACACTGATTCTGGCCTGCTCTGCACGGCTCAAACACTGCTCAAGCCTGCCCTGCACGGCACCGACTGGGCTCAAACACTGCTTTAAATTTTAACTGGGTAGACAACGGTACAATAATTGAGTCATATTTAAAATATTACCGCGAGTTCTTGTATTAATTAGACAGCTACACAATAATTAATCAAGAGTCTTTTAATAATTGAATGTGTGATAATTAAACATCGATATGGAAGGGCGACCCAGGGATCTGTTCGTTGCCATAGCGAATGATGGCGACGTGGTGGCCGCGGTCCTTGACCTTGTAGCCCACCTAGAGGACACGGTAGTTAAGCTTAATGACCCACCTAGAGGACACGATAGTTAAGCTTAATGACCCACCTAGAGGACACGGTAGTTAATGGTATCCCGGGTTACCCACGGTATCCCGGGTTACCCCCGGTATCGCGGGTTACCCATGGTATCCCGGGTTACCCACGGTATCCCGGGTTACCCACGGTATCCCGGGTTTTCCGGTATCCCGCGTTACCCACGGTATCCCGGGTTACCCCCGGTATCCCGGGTTACCCCCGGTAACCCCCGGTATTCCGGGTTACCCCCGGTATCCCGGGTTACCCACGGTATCCCGGGTTACCCCCGGTATCCCGGGTTACCCACGGTATCCCGGGTTACCCACGGTATCCCGGGTTACCCCCGGTATCCCGCGTTACCCACGGTATCCCGGGTTTTCCGGTATCCCGCGTTACCCACGTTACCCACGGTATCCCGGGTTACCCCCGGTAACCCCCGGTATCCCGGGTTACCCCCGGTAACCCCCGGTATTCCGGGTTACCCCCGGTATCCCGGGTTACCCACGGTATCCCAGGTTACCCATGGTATCCCGGGTTACTCACGTTGTAGTTGTAGTGGCCGATGTGCTTGATGGAAACTTCATCGCAGGGGCCCTTGGGGCCGTACACCCCCACGTATAGGATGTTGCCCCCTGGGGAGGAGGGGGTTAGGGGGGTTACTTTGGTGATAGTTACCCTTAGTAACCCCTAGAAGGGGGTTACCTCATGATGGTTTCCCTTGGTAACCCCTAAAAGGGGGGTTATCTGATGATATTAACCCTTAGTAACCCCTAGAACCCTTGGTAACCCCCTTAGAAAGGTAACCCCTTTGCACACTCACCATCCAGCCCACCCAACCCACTCACCTTCAAGCCCATTCGGCCCACTCACCACCCACTCCATTCGGCCCACTCACCACCCAGCCCACTCAGCCCCACCCGCTCCACCCGCCCCACCC